CCTTCAGGAGACACACACTGATCCCCACTCATCCATCAGGTTACCCAGGGCAACACACACCCACATTATCCACTCACACTCTTAAAACATTTCCTTGGGTTGAAACAACCCAGCATTATATGATAACTAATGGGGGAAAGTAGTGATTCCATTCAGAGGGTTATATTGAATGATTACCATACTCATAACAGTTCTGACCAATGAATTTCCATGAGCTTTGTAATCCTCATTCATGATTTCTGGATAAGCATTGATTTTTCAGAAATCATTCCACAGAGATTGGGGTTGATTACCAGCAGGCGCCAATCTTTGATTATACTTATAAATGTTTACAATAAGACAATGCAGGATAATGTTTCATGCTGTATTTGTGTCTGTAATATTTTAAACCCAGAATTTTGCATATGTCAAATCGTTATTAGACCCAAATGTGATGATACTGTTGTGAGAAATGTGTTAAAATTAATTTATAAAAAAAATTCCTGGCTTTTTCATTGTTACACACACAAAAAAATTTTTTACTTTTTTTTTACTTTTAATTAACTTGACAGCGTGCATGTGACTAACACTTACATCTTTCTTTAGTTTTAATTTTAGAAGAAAAAAAGAGAAATTTAAAATACAAAACAATTAAAAGCAAATAATGTCTTGATTTGTTACCAATTAACTTGACAGCGTGCATGTGACTAACACTTACATCTTTCTTTAGTTTTAATTTTAGAAGAAAAAAAGAGAAATTTAAAATACAAAACAATTAAAAGCAAATAATGTCTTGATTTGTTACCAGTCTTTTATACAAATTTAGAGATTAGAATATGTTACATTTATTTAATTAATATCTTAAGTGCACACAATCACTCTGAAAGCCTTAAAAATACATTTTGTAAACACATTTTTTAAACCTGGATTAGACTATTATGGTATGTTGGACAGCACAACACATATCTGTACACGTAATGTCAGTTATCTTTGTAAATGTTTTTCATTGCACACCTGCCTGAAACATCACCTGACCGACAGATGACAGCTGATATGTGTTCTTGTTTTACGAGAAGTAAACAGTCCACAGCATGCTTTGATTCACAACATCAGGCATTGCAAAAGCAACAAATCCTGAAGGAAAATGTGGAATACCTGCTTCTGTCCTCTATGGTCTCTCTGCCGGGTTCCTGAGTGACGGCTGTGATGATGATGATGCTGATGTGTGTGATGATGTGCGCAGTTCAGATCAGCGGATTTTAAACAAATTAATTCCCATGGAGATTTGCATCTGGAATCTAGCTCGTAATACAATCGACGTCCATTCGCAAAAAAAAAAAATACGACACTAAAAAATATCAAACCACATTCTCCTTAACCTGCCCTTGGTAACGTTGAGCTAAATTATTTAGAAATAAATATTCAATAAAGATTCACCGGAAAAGAAACCCTATATCTTCAGATAAATGTGCAGAATAAACGCTGAGGTTTTGATGTCTGGTGATAAAAGTGAGACCGTCTGCTCTTTACGAGAGACTGGAGTCTGTGGGTGTGTCGAGTCGCCTATTGGTCCAGAAGATAATGCGACTCGTTTAGGCGACTCGGTTCTTTTGAACTGCTCGCTTGACTCCTGATTCAACTATTCGTTTATCTCATATTAGTGCAGGCCAGGGGAGTAAAAATACAAATAAATAGTGTTGTGTAGCGCCCGATTGTGATTATAATTTTGTCCTAATGTCGTAAAAACACGATAAAATACGATTGTGACTGTAGGCTATGTTTGTTTCAGGCATCCCCTGAGATGTGTTCAAAACGCGCCTTTTTACATCAACCACAAATATGACCTGTGTGTCAAACAGATTGTCCATATTTTAACACACTAGCAATAATTAAGCTCATTAACAGTTTAATGTATTTTATAACCGGAATAAATCAAATTATTTAACTTACGAGCTCTGACAGATGAGATTCACTAGTTGAACCGACTCATTAAGCAGAACCGATTCAAACCAAAGCGCATCAACTGTATCAGTATAATCAAATTAGACCGAATTCTTATACGTTTGCATAATAAAAGAAGCAATCTTACGTGTTAATGTTCTGTTTCCATCGTTATAATTCGATGAGAAGTCACTGCAGCCAAGAAAACACATGCTGAGAACAGAAAGCGTAAACAAGAGATAGCCTAAATGACATGATCAAAAACTGTGGTTTTATCGTGTTGTAGACATGATATACAGTACACCATAGTAGGCTACCTTGGAGTAGTTTGTAAATACCATGGTAATAACACAGTAGGCTACCTTGGTAGGCCAATACACCCAGCTAACAAACTTCTAACGTTCTGGCAATGTTCTCTCAAAGTTAGCCTATACAAATCTTCTTCCATTAATATTAATATAACGTTTGTTCAGAGTTAGCCTATGGTCTTTAAAACAGTAGCACAAAAACACTTGTATACATCATTTATGGGACTTTTGAAAAATGTTTTATTTGGACGTTCATTTAACATTTTTTAAATGTTACTAATTGTTTCAGAACATCCAAAAGTAACATTTCTATAATGTGTTCAGAATGCAAAAAAATGAATGTTCCTTTTACATTCGCATAACCAAGAAAAAAGCTTTTAACATTTTGAACATTCCGAGAACATTCAGAAAATGTACATATATATATATATATCATTATTTTATTTAATATATTTCATAAATATGAAAATTTAAGCTGCTTGCAGTCACAATAATGTGACATAATTGCTTATTACTTTTGTTCAGAAGTTATTAGCAAAACATATTTAATGTTTCGTGACCACTAGGTGGCGCTGTGCTGAAACTATAAGGGTACCCTCAGGTCATGGTTGTCATAACACACACCAAGTTTGATCAGAATACACTAAAGCAATATGGAGACATAGCCTCACATCCATTTTGATATGCTCTTCGTCAAATTGCTTCACATGTTACTCAAGAACAGTTTGACGAATCAACTTGATTTCCATGTTTATGTTGTTGCCATGTTCTGAAGGTGATACGAGCCAATTTTGGTGGCAATCGGACGAAACGGACGAAAATTCAAAATGGTGATTGGCGCAATCGAATCGTCTTGATCCAGAGGAAAACAGAAGCCCTTTTTTTCTAGCCTTTACGGTTTAAAAGTTGCTAGCATAAATCTAAGTGAAACTTTGGACAGTTGGTGGTGCTAGAGGGATTGAGTTAGGGGCTCCAAAATTCATTTGGATAATGTTCAGACTGTCCTCTATCTGTGTGCCAAATTTCACAAATTTTTACCATTTGATTCTATAGCCTGCCAGACTCAAGAGTGGAAGAAGAAGGGTTTTTAGCTTATTAGCTGGCCAGAGCCCTAGATAGTGGACACAAAAAAGGGGCCAATTCTAGGGGCCAACAACCATCTGATATCACTGCCACTGCCGTATATGTTCTGTCTCAATCAATCTCCCCCTTATGTCCTAGTTTCTCTCGAACAGAAGTCCCCTCTGGGTAAATTCCCCCTAATAAATGAATGCATCACAGTCTGTGGGGTAAAATCCCATTCCTTTACGTCATTGTGTAATGTACAGTAAGCTCATACTGTATGCTCACATCATGCACTGTGGGTGAAGCATGCATAGAAAGGGTTAGATAAGATGCAGACAGTCCCCGATGCAATCACACTTTCACCTGTGAACACATGCCCAGCATGCCTCTTATTGGAGATCACATGCATCTAACAGGGTTGGTTTTGTTTGATAGTGACACTGATGCGGAATGTTGTTTTACATGCCATGCGTGACACATGCACTGAACAATACAAGGCTTACGTGCATATAGGGGTGAATTTTAAATCATTTCACTGTTTTGATTTGAGAGAATGTTCATGTGTGTTTATGTCACTGACCTTTTATTAGGACTTCGTATTTTTATTTTATTTATTTTTTTAAATTCATCTTCCAATTCCTTTCCCAGACAGCGACATAGTGTCGGTAACATAGTAATCCAATCCAAATGTGTACCAGATGTGGGCCGGATCTGGGCCGACATGTTGCTGTCTGTTCTTTTCTATAATCGAACATTTTCAAACAAAACATGTTTTCTTGGGGATACTGGTGAACAATTACACACCATACTATTAAAAAAAAGAGGCAGAAATAGTAAAAGTATTTAACGAATTTAACCAAGGCTTAGTCAGCTAGACAAAAATGTCTGTCAAATTAATAAATGTAAATATATACTTCACTTTTCAGTATTTCACTTTTACAGTATTTCACTTTTACAGTATTTTTTTTTTTTTTTACAAAAATCACTTTTACAGTAAAGATCAGAGAATATTCTCCTCTGTATGAATGAGAATTTATGAGTAAAAAATGTTCAGCCCATAAATCACACTTCAACCCCTTTGTGAAAAAGAAGTGTGCTTGTTATGCACTTTATATCTTAAAAGTAGTATAAAACAAATGACTTGCAGATAACATTAAGGAAATAAAAGGCTACTTAATTGTACTTAAAGACAGTGCACTTTAATGTAGTGTCATATTAAATGTTAAAAGTACATTTTGAATAATTATCATTTAAAAATAATGCGTTGTGCTTAAAAGCACTTATTTTTATGTGCATTTTGATTATAATTTTAACTGTAGCGTTATTATACCACTTACTTTATTACTTTAAATGTATTAAATTGCAAATTCATGTAATTACAAATATATTTAAATACCATTTTCAATAAGATTACACAAAATAATATTTTAGTTTAACCATATTTACAATAAATATGAAATTATATACAAAGATAATATCTATGCTACTTAAGTGGCTCAAAAAGTTAGCCACGCCCCTTTTCCGCGCTGAGCTCGTTGTCTTTTGACTTCCGGTCTGTGTTTTCACAGCGATCTTGCGTAGTTATGAATGAACAGCTCGTTAAAAAAATTTCCCAAGGTCCATTTGTTAAGACATATGCTTTACAATGCTTATCATAAACATTACAATGCTCATGATAACTTTCGTTAACTAAGTAAATCAACTTCA